TTTCCCTAGGGGCTGGGAGTCTCCCTGTTGAAGTAGGATCTCTTGCGCAAAAAAGCGGACTTCTGCGTGCGTCGGTGGGAGCCCCAGGGAGGCCTGAAGAAGCACCCAATCTGCTAGGCGCTTCTCCTGCTCCGGAGGTATCCGCTGATACGGTTCTTGTGCCTGTCGGCTGGGTAGGGATCCCGTTAGACGCCGGCGTAGGGTGGTCCTCGGTATGCCCCAGAGTCGGGCGGCCCGCGAGATAGGGACCTTTGCCTGCACGGCCGCGACGGCCCGTTCGACGTCTTCTTCGGTATACTGTTTCTCTGGCATATGGGCATTGGATTGCAGTAAAAAGTATGGAAAACGGATCAAAATTGAGGGATTTACGGCGGGTTGAAGACGTGGCCATATCTGAGGCAGTGGGCCTGTTTGAGGTGGCCGGAAGGGGGGGTGGCCGACAGGGGGTACTCCGACTTAGCTTTAAAACCCACGGGGGTAGGGGCGTAAACGTGGTTGCCTTTACAACAAACAGCCTGCGCCGGGGACACGGTTGGGTGGGGAAACACAATAAACATTTTCCACTTACCTTCAAATGCATTAGCTTTAATAAAGAAAGCCGTCTAATGCTCCCTACTGCTACGACCACAGCGAGTGCGAGGTAGGGGGCAGGCCTAGTTAGGAAAGAAAGCCACCCCATGTAACGGGGTCGCCCTGGTAAGGGATCCCGGGGCTTGATATACTGTGGTGCCAGAGGGTTCAATCGCGAAGTGATTGAACTGTTGGATCTTTTGGTCTATGTAGTGGAGCGGTTACTCTGGCACGCCCCCCTTACACCCCACCACGCCTAACAAGGACGTTGGAAGGTCACGTAACCAGGTCACGCGGAAACACGATACGTGGAATACTTGGGATAAAATAGCATCCAACGACGGCAAAAATCCATGAATATCACTGCCACTCTTTTTATTAGGAAGCTTGGCTAGATTCGATGGCTTGCTGGGTGGAGTCCTTTCTGAACTCGAATGCTGATCCCGCCTTATATTTGCAGCAGCGTAGAGCGGCGCTCGAAGTCGATGCCGCTTGTCGCCCCTGGAGACGGGCCTGATCTGCCATCTACCTGCTACTGGAGGACTTCGTGCTGCAATCCACGGACGCCGCCCATGCGTGTCACTTGAGCAAAGGACTTTAGGGGCGAAGGGCTTTAAGGATAAGCCTCACTTTAGCCCCACCCACAAGCTTCCCAATTTTTAACTAGACAATAATGGAGCCAATGGGTTTTAGTCCCAAACGGGTCGTTTAGGTTTTCGCCAACCCTATTTTCTAGCAGGTTTAGGGAGATCCTACACGCTTGTCCGACGGATGCCTAAATCATAAAGTCCAAATTTACCCTTGGAAGCCAATTACGTTAATAAAATCCAACGCCGAGGACCGAGGATTGCGTATACCAGGTAGCTACGTCCCCGCACGGGCCACAAGCTGGTTTATATAATGCCGGCCAACTGCTGTGGTCTCCTCGAGAGATTCTGCTTCCTTAGGCAACTTTTAAGCCCCTAAAATCGCCCCTCCAGGCCGTCTTTAACCCCCTGTTACATATACTTGAAGGCTTTCCTCCATCTTAAAGGATCCAAGTAACAGCCACAACCTGGTGCCATGGTATGAACACTGCATATCGCGAGATTTTCTGGTGAAGCTAACCTGGCGTTCCCGCGCGGCAGGCTATTAAGCGCACTGTGTCCATCCACGAGGCTGGATCCTCTTCCGGCACCGACCCAAACACCCACTCTTCTGCCCAAAACGCAGAGAACCATGTCCCGCAACCCGGCGGCGACTCTGCCCGAGACCCCAACCCGGTTCCCGAGTCTCGTCCGGCACCGGCCACGGACCCGGAAGGCCTGGAGTTTAACGTGCGGCCCTTGAGCAGCGCCAAAGGCCTCATGGTGAGGGTGCAACCGCCCAAGGCGCCCGGGGGAGTGCCCGCCGACTACCACGTGCCCTGCGACATCGTGCTGGTCATCGACGTGTCCGCGAGCATGTCGTCCGCGGCCGTGCCCCCCGTCAAGAAGGGCGAGGCCGGCGAGGACCACGGGTTTAACACGCTCGACCTGGTTAAGCACGCTGCCCTTACGATCCTGGCCACCCTGGACGAGCGGGATAGGCTGGGCATTGTGAAGTTTAGCCGCAACGCAAAGGTGCGTCCGTCGCTCGCTCCGTCCGGCGTGGCGAGGTGGCATGGGGTTTTTCGAACTGTTGCTGACGCACAACTGGTGGTTTAGGTGGTGATGGAGCTTTTGCCCATGGTCGAGGAAAATAAGAAGCTTGCCGAAACAGAGCTCTTAAAGCTTGCGCCGACCTTGGATACTGTCATGTGGAACGGCATCGCCGCGGGGTTCGGTGTTTTCGAAGGAAAGCAGGATGGCAGCAATAGGGTTCCTGCAGTTATGCTTATGACTGATGGCGTGCCGACCAGGTTAGTTTCTTTGCATTTTGTTGCTATTTGAAACCGCATTTTTGGGCCCTTGCTAATTTCGGCGGCCGTTTCTATTCTTTGTTCGTAGCATTCCCAGCAGCGGCTGGGTAGGCAAGCTAAACACGATCCGCCCATTTCCGGCCCCTATCCACACCTTCGGCTTTGGATATTCTCTCGAGTCGGGCGTTCTCAAGTCCATCTCTGAGCTTACTGGCGGCCATTATGCCTTTATCCCTGACTGCGGAATGATTGTGGGTTGTGTTCCATGGCCCTGGAAAGAGGCCGTCGATGCTGACTTGACAACGCAAACCAGGGCACGGTCTTCATCCACGCCGTCGCCAACCTACAGTCTACATTTGCGACCGAGGCCCAGCTAAAGATCGACTTCCCGGCGACCCTGGGTCTTCAAGCGGCCATCGGCAAAAATTATCAGATCTTACCCGTGGAGGAAATGGAACCTGGCAGTGGACAACGGGCCAAGCGATCGCGCCTTACCGTCGGCCTCGGGGCGTTGCAGTTCGGAATGTCCAAAGATCTTTACTTTGAGCATAGCGGAGAGGCGGCGCAGCTGGAAGGCTACCTCCCGGCCGACCAGACCGTCGCGGTCGAGCTTAGCTACAAAACCCTGGGCGGCGAGCGGAGCACCCTGAAGCTGGGCCGGGACACATTCAGGGCTGACGACCCGCCCGAGGCCGAGGTCGCCTACCACGTGTCCCGCTCAATGCTATGCAAGTTCCTCTCATCCCTCTTCCCCTACCCGGCCGGCGGCGAGCGCCAGCGGCACGGCTGGGGCGAGGCCAAAACGCGGTACGAGGACCGGACGCCGATCGATTCAGAGCTGGCGGCGCGGCTATGCGGCGTTAAGCGGGCCATGCCGGCGTGGGACCTGGCCGGGGCGTCGGAAGACTGCGCGTCGCTGATCCAGGACATCGAGGGCCACGAGCCGCACGGCCAGGTGGCGCTGGCCCTGTCGCGCCGCGATTACTGGGACCGCTGGGGCGGCCACTACCTACTCGGCCTGCTCGACGCCCACACGCGCCAGGCCTGCAACTCGTTCAAAGACCCCGGCCCGGGCCGGTACGGGCTCGCCAGCCCCCTGTTCGCCGCCCGCCGCGCTCGTCTGGACCGCGCCTTCGACGCCGTCAAGCCGCCACCGCCGAGCAGGGTGCCCCCGCCCCCGTACCGCAGTAGCAGCATCGGCAACTGCGAGCGGCGCATGTACTCCATGAGCGACGCGTACCTCAACAGCAGCGCGCCCTGCTTCGCCGGCGCCACGCGCGTCCGCCTGGCCGAAACGGCGACGACGGTGGCCATCCGCGACCTCGCGCGCGGTATGCGCGTGCACACGCCGCTGGGGCCCCGGGCCGTGGCGGCCGTGCTGCGGACGCGGGTGTGGCGTGCGGCCGTGCGGCGCGTCGGCGGCGTCGTGGTTACGCCCTGGCACCCGGTCAGAAGGACCGGCGGCGGCGGGTGGGCGTTCCCGGCCGACATGGCCGAGGCGCGGCCCGCGCTGTACACGGGCTCCGTCTTCTCGGTCCTGCTCGAGCCCGACCCCCGCCCGCGGGCCCACGCCTTTCTGGTGGCCGAGTCCGCCGCCGGCGCGGGCTCGCCGCCGGTCCTGTGGGGCGTGTGCCTTGGCCACGGCCTGGCGGGGAGGACGAGGGGTGAGGCTGACGGGGAGGAGGCGGCCGAAGATGCGGGGGACGATGTTAGGAACCACGAGTTCTGGGGCGACTATGCCCGCGTCGCTGCCGAGATGGCGCGCCTCCCGCGAGGCGGCCGCGACGGCGTCGTGCTCTGCGGCGGCGTCAGGCGGTCCAGGGTCACGGGCAGGACGGTTGGGCTCCGGAAGCCTGGGCTGTCGCGTGGGCTGGCGAAGGCCGGGAAGACGATGGTTTGGAAGCTGCGGGGACGCTTTGTTAGGGCGGCAAGGTCGTCGAGGAAGGGCCTTATCTCCGCGGTTTAATGGGTATTTGCTTCTGATTAGCGTTTGGCCAATTGGCCAATTGGTAACTTTTGTGTCTGTTTATTGAGTATTAAATATCCTGTGCGCTGAACTAAGCCCCCTTTCCCTTTCTCAATACATCCCCAAGCTTCCCCGGGCTTCGTCGGAACATCAGGTGGTTAAAAGTTTGCATTCCGCACTGGGGATTGGATTAAGTTCGTTAGATTATCTCACTTTGGGTAATTTTAAACCTTTAGGTATTTGGTAAGAGAGGGAAAGGGAGAGGGGCAGCTACATGCAGCTAGCGTGCGCGCAAGCGGGTTGCGGATACCAAGCACTTCATATCCTTTAAGCCAGGCTAGACTATCACCAAACTGAAAGAAACGAACCATCCAGAAAGGGGGTCTCTCTGCTAGGCTAATCTTTTCTCGCGAAGTCACTTTTAATGATCTCGCTCGCTACTAAACGTAACAATATGTCTACCGTGCAGCGCATCCGTTGCAACGCCAATGTCCGCTTTCAACCGACACCTGCTGCCGGGCAAACGCACTTTTTTGCTACAAACAGGCCTCTGCTCCTATGGTAGGACACCTAAAAAGGTGGTAACAGTAGCATCTCTGTCAAGGAGGAGGAGGAGGATTTAACGTCGGTAAGTCGGGATCTACCAGTCCCTACCTCCTAGGGGGCATACGACGTGCTAGCGATACCTAAGCTATTTACAAGGCGCCCAACCCCACACTGTCTCGGGCCCGGCCCGTGACAGTCGATCCGCTTGACAGACTCATGTAGACTAGAATAGCGCGCCGTGATGCCCCACGCGCGGCTGCACACACGGAGAACCAGCCTGGCTGGCGCTCCGTGCCGCCCGGCGTTAATAAACACTACTACTACTACTACTACTACTAAGCTATTTACACCAGGCCATAGTGCTGCTATACGGCGGCTAGCAAATTAAGCCCTAAGGCACACGGAGTTCCGGCAGCATTCCGGCGCTCCTTGTTGGTGAGAGGGCAATCGGCAGTAGGGCGTATATGAACGCCGGGGCGTTGTAAGCGCAGCGGGTGGTAGTAGTGCGTTCGGCCGGCGGGTGCGTCGGAAAGGGGGTAAGGCCGGGCGGGGGTCCTCGGGACTACCCTTGTGCCTGGCCGGGGTTGCGGGGGACCGGCGAGCCTACCGTTGGTCCGGGTGGTACAAAAGAAAAGGTGGCAAAACGTTGCTCGTCATTCCTTTCTGCTTATAAGGTACTCAGCCTAAGTGGACGTTGCAGCCATCGGTAATTCGCAGCATTAAAGCCACGGTCTCTATCAGGGTTGCAGTGCACGGCATGGTCAGCCTAACGGTTCGGCAATTTTGGCGATAATTCCAAGGGCTCTTACGCTTCTCCAAGCCCAAAGGCTTAACCTTTTCACCATCTGGGAGCGCGATGACGGGGAACTCGTTTAGGATGCGCACGATGGCGTACGCGGCTTCGGTAAGGCGAAATCCACTGCGAGGTGGTTAACACCACGTTAACTGCCTGTGCTTGGAATGGTTTAGGGGGTTACCGGGACCGAGAAAGAACGGAAAAAGAAAGAACGTACTTCCGATGCAAACGCGAAGCCCGCCGCCGAACGGCAGGTACCCGTAGTTGCGCGTCAAGGCGTCGCGGAATAAAGGCATGCCGTCGCCGTCGCCGAGCCAGCGCTCGGGCCGGAAAACCTCGGCGTCCATGCCGTACAGGTCTGCGCGGCGGTGCAAGGCGTAAACGTTAAAAGCGACGACGGAGCCGCGCGGCACAAGCACGGGCTGTTGCCGGTCAACCCCGCCGCCTGTGGGCAGGACCGTATCGCGCGCGGCGGTGCGGCCGTTAATGGGCGCCGACGGGTACAGGCGGAGGTCCTCCTTTAGGACGGCCTGAAGGTACCTCATGCCTTTAAGGTCGCCCCGCTGGAGGTCGGCGGGCTAGATGGGAGTATTTGCAATTTCGGTGCGGAGCTTGGATAGGGCATCGGGGTGGCGGACGAGAACGAAGCTGTGGGAAGGGGATATTTCTTATCAGCTAACGAACTTATGGGGCGTGCCTAAGTTTTAGCGTCCATATAATCAAATGGCTTGCTACTCACAACGTCCGCGAGAGAAAACACGCCGTCGTGTCGCGCCCCGCGCCCAAAACGTTAACGATCTGGCCGCGCAGCGCCTCGCGGTCCGGGCAGGCCTCGGCGACCCTGCTCGGGAACGACGGCTTCTTCTCCCCGCCGGCGGCGGCCGCCTTCGCCAGGTTCCGGTCGACGACGCCGTCGATAAAGGCGTGAACGTCGGCGCAGGCGCGCCGCCACGCGCGCCCGCCGACCAGCCAGTGCAGGCCCGGCAGGCGGAAGCGGCGGGCCAGGAAGCCGAGGCCGCGGTCGAGCGCGTCGGCGAAAGCGCGCTCAGGGCTGTCCACGCCGGACGCCAGAGAGCGGATCGACTCGCCCAGCAGTAGCGAGGTGGTAACGTCAAGGGTGAGGCCGAAAAAGAGCGGCTGGAGGTCGACGGTTTTTACATCGCCGGCGTCGGCGGACCGGGACATGGCGGCGAGCAGGTCGTCGACGGGCTGCTGCATGGGTGACAGGTCCTCGTAGTGGCCATGCGCCAGGTGCGGGCGGATTCTGGCGCGCGAGCGCCGCCAGGCCTCGCCGTCGAGGGTGAAAACGCCGTCGCCGGAAAGGGGGGCGGCGACTTGGTGCCGAGGGCTAATGGAGTAGTCTAAATGGTAAAATCAGTCGATAAGTGTCATGGAGTGGCACGGCCTTGGCAGGCCTCGCTCCAGATTGCGAGACGAGAGGGTCACGAGGTCACGCGACTACGTGGCTCGTGCGACGCACAACGTGGGGATAAATCCACGCGCGCGTTGGCCGGTGCAACGCACCGATCCCCTCTTCTCTTCCCTAGCTTTTGATAGTCAATATTACGCCTACTTTTGCAGCCCTGTCTCTTAATGGTAGTGCGCGATCCCTAACAATAAGCATAAGTTTGGGGAAATCAAAACGAGGTGTGTGCAAGGGGGCGTACCCCTGGCCTTGGAGTTTAACATGGCCTCGAGGTTGGCGGGGTCGACGGTGATAAAGATGGTCTTGTTTAAAAACCTTTGCTGGATGGTCCACTCGGACTGGCGCATGTGGAACAAAATGACCTGTAGCAGCTGGTGCCGGGAATCGGCCTGGATCCACTGCCGGAAGCGGCCGAGGCCCCAGGGACAATGGTTGCTGTTTTTCGCGGGCGTGTAAGCACATGTGCGAAATATTAGTGGTGCTTTTCAAACCCGCGCTTACCCTTTCAGATATGGCGCAGGCGCGCATCCGTGCTTCGCGGCAAGCTTTTGGAATAACTAGCAAACACGATAATGTTTTATCAAATCTTTCCTTTTGCGAGTAAAGGCGGTGGCTGGGCCGCATACCTTGCTTGCTGCCCTCGCCCTTTGCCAGTAACGGGAATAGATTACTGAAAGAGAGACGAATACGAAGATATATATCGGGTGCATAGTTTCGGGCGTAGTTTCCAGAGTAAGCATAGGAACAAGGCTATTACGGTAAGATAAACAGACTAGGGAAATGAAAAATGCCTTCGGGAGCAGGGATAAGGGCAGGACTTTATTACACCTGGTTTAATTAGGCAAAACCGTGAGGGCTTCTCATAGTCGCGGTGGTTGGTGGTAATATCGAACTATGGAGTGGGCTGTCTCTTAATTATCCCTTTATTCCAGCAGTTCCCCTTAAAAACGCCACATATACATACGAGCGTAACTGAAGGAACAGCCAATTGCGCATTGCAAACTGCCAGGCGGTGGGTTTTAGGGAGCATGGGCAAAGAGGGATTTGAAGGACGTCCAGCTGGGTGTCACGGTCCAACGTAGGCAACGAGGCAGGCTGCGATATCCGTAGGTTGAATTGGCTATCAAAAGGTAAAGAGAAGAAAGGAAAAAGTTGTGCGTTGCACGGCGACAGCGGAATTGCCCAAATAGGCACGCGTTGGCCCGTGCAATGCAGGCCCGTGCGTAGCACCTGGCAGGCAGCCAATTCGGGCTGCCGCGCCATGACACTGGGTAGCTTAAAAAAGAGACCCTTCCGGGCCACCCACCCTTTTTGCTCGTTCACCCACCTACCCACTTTTTTAGCCCGTGCAACGCCTGTGCGTTCCGGTTTTGCTGCCACCTAATTTACCTGCAGAACCATTTTTGATGCATTTGATCACAAAAATAACAATGTGCACGCCGGCACCATAAACGAAAACGAGGTTATTGTCATTTCTAGTGACGATTCCGACGAGGCTCCCGACGAGGCTCCCAACTCGGAACTGTATACATCGGACATTTCTACTTCCTCCTGGCAGGTGCGCGCATTGTATCCGGTTTTGCCGCAGGTGCCACATCGCCGACGAGTCGTCGTCGCCTTCCTTTCCTGACCCCCGTGGTCGCGCATTTCTTGCTGTAGCTGCCCATCCAGCTCCTGCTGGTCCAGAACATCTCGTATCTCTTTAACAGTATGTGACCCTCCTTGTCGAACACGTGTTTTTTTGGCCTTCCGGCGTTTGCTTAATGCCTCGTTCGCCCTTCGTAGCCTGGAGCACTCTTCCTCCAAAAGGTTAACCCGATGCATAATTGCCCTAGCCCCTTTCGTTAACTGTTCCACAGCCGCCAGTATAGGTGTCGGAAAGCTACCCCGGCAATTGGAAATCCGAGTTTTAATAAGTTCGGACTGCGAAGTTGCGTCCCTGGCTGTCCTGGGCGTTTTGGAGGTCCAAGGTTCGGGGTCGTTCAAGGACGTCCTCGGGGGAGTTGGAGTCCGTAGCCTTACATCCAGCTTTTCCAAAACCGAATCCGGGTCGAAAGGAGTAAGGCCAGCCCCTCGGAAGCCTCCACAAATATTTCCTTCGGTTATGGAGTCAAAGAATGCCGCTTTGAACGCCGAAAGGAACTCGATCTTGGTTACGTGGTTAACGTGCGACCTCATCAGGTCCTCGGTCTGTCGACCGTACGCCTTTTTCAGCGGGCTAAAGCACCTAACGTCAAGCGGCTGAAGGAAATGAGACGAATGCGGAGGCATGCAAAGCGTGACGATATTGTGTTCTTGGCAGTAAAGCTCGAAATCCGTCGAGTGGTGGCTCTCGTGGCCGTCCAGCACTAACAAACGATGGGACCCTTTCCTGTGAGCTGTAGTGTGTTTATCGAAATGCTAAATCCATTCCAGGCCGAGCTCGTTCGTAATCCGCCTATTAGCGCTTATTGCGATAACCCAATCGCGTGGGAGGTCGGTTTCCGAATACCAATTGGCTAGGTGGTACTGCCCCTTAACGATAATAAAAGGGGGGATCGCCCAGCCGCAGCAATTAACCCTTTGGATAACCGTAGCCCATTCCCGATTGCCAGGCTGGACCAGCTTTGCTTTACCACGGCCTTCCGACGTTATAATAACCATAACGGCGGCGATTATGCCCATAAGGAAGCCGGTTTCGTCGAAGTTGTAGATGTCGTTATCCTGGATGCCATATTTGGCCACAGTGTTCCGCACAAGGTCGAACCAGGCAGAAACGAGCTTGAAATTTTCGCATTTGGCCCTTTGGTAATCGTACTTTCGAATCCAGCGCGTGCCGAGCTCTGCGCGGCGCTTAACGAAATTCGCGACCCAGTTCTTGCCGACTGTGCCCGCGTCGCGTTCGGCGAGCAGTCGGTTGGCCATATCTTTAATACCAGAAGGCTGGGGAGTAAACGCGCGGGAATCCAGCTCGAGTATGTACTTAACAAGCGCTTCCTCTTCGGATTCCGTCAATTTCCGTGATTTGGGCATGGTGTCGCGTCGAGCAGGTTGGCCGCTCTTCCGCCGGGCGAGAGTAGAATAGTTGACCGCGTAGATCTTGGCAGCACTCCGGATGCTCAACTTTGGGTCCGAATTGATGGCCTGAAGGGCCAAGATGATCCTGCTTTCGTCGCTTGTGTTTGCTATTGTTTGTTGTGGAAATGTTCGTGGATGAAGTTCAATTGACGCGTGGACGCGTGTCGGTGACCCACTCGCTTGTTTGATCCACTCACTTGTGAACCACGTTAAGTTTTATTAATAAAAAGTCCTTATTTTAATACGTAAGTTTCATATTAAAATTATGCAAACTTATACATTAAATAACTTTTAATAACTTTAAAAAATACTAAAGTTAGTTAAAAGTTAGTAATTAAAGTTGAAAGTCGGTTACTATGGTAACGTTAACTAACTTAACTTTAAAAGTTATAATTATAACTTTTAACTTTTAACTTTTTTTTTAAACCCTGGCTATACCAACTCTGCAATTTCGGTGCGTTAGTAGTGGGTAAGGTGTTATGCAGGCCAGTGGGTGCCCACTGAGTGCTTTAGCAGTTGGGTGACCTTAAGGCCCGTACAGGGCTCCTAGGCCTATTACCCTGCACTACCCTTTTTAAGCGAGTTATAGACTTAAAGTGCGCAAGTTGGCTTTGGAGGCCGAACGCGGAGATGGGTTGGGTGACCGTGGGTCGATTTTTAAAATATCACATAATTACTAAATAATTTTTCGGAGATTCGCCCGCGGCACCGCAACCCTTTGGGCTGGAAAATCCGCGGGATTGATGTCAGTGGGTATATGAGGAAACCTGATTGTTGGCAGGCCCTCAAGACCCGACGAACCAACTAAATAAACGCTGTAACCCACAACGTTGCAAGGCCCTGCATAGCACTACTTTGTAGTGACTGTTGAAGCCTAACCCTTTTAACGTGACTCTATTAGTGCAGTGATTAGTGCAAGCGATCGCTATCGTAACCCTGTGATCTAACAGGTTATGAGCCCGGCTTTTCGCTGGCTGACAGGGCTACGTAGGCCTATCGAGCCCCAATTGAGCCAATTGACAGGCGCTGCGACTGTAACTGCTGAGCGCCCTAGGCACCAGGCAGCTACTGTTGGCACCACCTGCAAGCGACGCTGCTAGCGCTAAAAGGTTATGAGAGACCGGTGCGTAAGGGTACTACGCCGGCATACTGCTTCGACCCTACCGTCGCTATCGCTAGTGCTGCAAATGGCATTGCCACGTCCGCCGCCGCCTCGGCTAGCTCCTTACCTTTACGCTTACGGGTATAGCAGAGGCGGTTATGGAAGAGGGTAGGAACGGCGAGCTCGGCCATACTGAATATAAAGTAAACTGGTAGGTGTCACGATCAGGGCGAGTAGGCTTCGCAGCCAGGTTCAATTGATGCTATGGACGGAAGACTCTTCTATGGGGAGGGAAAAGGGAAAGAGGCGCGGAGCGCCGAACACGCGATGCAGAAGAAAAGGTGGTGCGGCGTCTTGTCGCACGGGCTGTTCCGCGGCGCGTGCTCACGTGGATCCCTGCGCTGTGCGGTGAACTGCCCTGGGCCGTCACAGTAGGCGAGACATTTCCCCGGTCAGCATCTCATAAAAGGTAAAGGGTGATTGCTTTTCACATACCATGCTCGAGTGCTAGCTGGAACTCCGAATCGATGCCGTCGATAGGGTGCAGGGAAACATATTTTTCGACCACATCGCCCGGCCCATTCCAGGTGCTCGTCATAGCCTACAAACTATGTAGGCGTTAGGGGAAAAGCAAGTTCTGCGGCCGCGCTGGCGTAGGTGTCCGCCCGGCAGAAGGAGCCGTCTAGCTCAAAACGGAGGTTGGTGGGATTAAAGCCTTTCCCAACATATTGCAACGTTACAACGTTCTATGCCATTTTTTGTCGTGGCGAACTGAGTATAGACGACCACAGGCTCGCAGTTACCGCCGGTGGCCCTGCCGCCTCCTCCCGATCGCACGTTGAATTAAAGTTTGCGGGCCCGTGCGTTTTAGGGTGTCGGCCTCGCACGGTGTTGGGGCGACCGTGTGGGCCCAGTTCCACAGCAAACAGCCCCTGAGGCGAGGTACTTTAGTCACTGGTCACAGCGTTGTGCTGTCACGCTCGTCTGTTTCCGCCATTTTCCCCTTTTGGCGCGCCAACTGCCAGCCACTTGTGACGATCTAGGTTAAGGCCCGCAGGCCTTGACCCACAGACGAGGACCCACATGAGGAACCATGATCAAGGCGCGCTGAACGCGCGCCGAACACCGGAATCCCCTCTTTCTTTCCTTTCTCCCCTAGATTAGAATCTTCGTTCGTAGCGCCAATTGACTGTGTTCTAGTCTTCGACCATGGCCGTGACACCACTTGTGGCTTTAGACGGCCACACCCAGCCTGCACGGGCAGGATTTGCGAGGGGTACGTGGCAACAATACGCCCTGGGTGTGCATAATCGCTACCCACCCCCTGCTGGCCGCCCACTTTTTGCTCGCGAATTTTTTCGCGCCTTTTTCCCTTTCAAATCCTCCTGCGCCATTTTTTTTTCCCGAATTTTCCTGCGCCATTTTTCTTCGCCACCTCATGCATTAGGATTCCTTCCAATCTTTCTGAGCAACTGCCAACGGCTTTTCCCAGTCAGCCAACTTCGTAAATATATCCTTTGCCGGGATGGCGTAGCTCTAATGCGAGGTCCTTTAGGTAAAGGAACAAATGCGCGGCGTCTTTTTGTTTTTTTCTTTAGTGGAGGATGGTTTTCGTTCGTCGCTGGGAACGATGGATCTTTTAGCGTTGTTTTCCTTTGGCCAATTCCTAAAAGCAGAAATCGACCCTTTCTCTCTGGCTCGGTTCTTAGCCTTCGTGTCAAGGTAAGACGGACGCCATGCACGCCTTCCAAGTGACCCCCTGGAAAAGTGCCTCATTTTTTTTTAGTTAACGTAGGCTTCCTGCTCTGCTCCGTTGCGCACCACAATCGGCCGCATCGGCCTGCCCAGGACCAGCCGCCTAGGAACCGCCCTGCCGTGATAATCAGGCGCCGGTGCAGTTGCGGCACGCCTTGGCCGTGCAGAATCTACGGTGTTTAGTTGTGTCAAATGGGCCCCATTAGTGTATGCGGCGGCTAACAACCACCCCTTTACTTCACCCCCTACTCCACCCCAGGTCCAACCCCGCACCACTATAAATTTGGCGATCAGCCATTTTCGCCTCCGTAGCCTTCGTGCGGGTCGCGAATTCCTCGCCAGGATTAGCTCGGCTGCCAGGGCCCGCCGTCTAGTCGTCGCAAAGCAGAATATGCCGACAATACCACAGGATTCCAGAACGATAAAATGCAAAAAACATATACCTGGAATCTACATCGAAATAATAGCACAGTATGAGGGCCCTACCGCCTACCGCTAGAGGAAAAAAACGACAATTTGAAAATTCGGCATATCCACAAACTACCTGCCGTCGTAAAGCACCTGCTCGTCGAACCGCTTAACCACGGCGCCAAGCACCGTCTTGTGCCGTGTTTGGTTTTTCAACCGGTTGAGAGAGTTGAACTTTTAGCCCTGTAGATCCTGTAGATCGCCCGGGGCCCTTGTTCTCGATCCCCTAGTAAATGACGTGCAGGCAAAGCCACGGGCTCTGTAGTTCCATCCCCCAGATCAGCGCCTTGTTTACCTATATGACGTAGTTGAAGATATCACGAGATATCTGCCCAGGGGCCGGCCATGACGTAGTTGAAGATATCTCGAGATACAGAGGGCCCAGAAGGCCGGCGTTTGCATCAATTGAACGCTCTTCTTCTAGCAATAGATTCAACTGCAACTACAGCCTATCTAATCAACTTAACGCCTTCCCAACGCTCCAAAAACAATGCCTTCAACTTTCGCCCCCTCCTCCCCCTCGTCTGCCGGCCTTTCGGTGCACCAACGCCGTCGTTATCTGCTACTTTGCATGTTAGCGGTAGTCAGTACGACCCTTCACAACCGCCTGCGAGGCTCCTGGGACGCTGTTTATCAGTCTGTTCACAACTCCTTTTGGGCTGGGGATATAGTCCTCTAGTACTGGCTCCGCCCTGCCGCCTCGCAGGGCTTCAAGGAGATCTTCCGGATGACCCCGATGGCCTTCATAGAGCTCTGCGAATGGGTTGAGGCCCGTGGCCTTGCCAGGGGCTCTTCTCGGATCTCCCTGGCAGCGAAAATAGCCTCGTTCCTGTATATTTGTGGCCAAGGGGCCTCGATCCGCATGGCCGCTCACTTTTGGAACCACAGCACGGAGACAATCTGCCGCAATTTCCACGAGATTCTAACCGCCTTTCTCGCCCTCCACGACGCTTTTGTGCGGCCCCAACGCCTCCCAAACGTCCCTGAACCCGAGCGGATGCGCCCAAACGTTCGTCGGGCCTTTAAAGGCTGTCTGGGCGCTGTTGACGGCACTTTGATCGAGGCACGGGTGCCGAGGAGGGTCGCCAACGGGTGGCGGAGTCGGAAAGGCAGTACTGCACAAACCGTTTTCGCGGCCGTTGATCACCGTGGGCGGTTCGTTTTCGTGTTGGCAAGGGTGCAGGGGTCGGTACACGACTCTAGACTCCTCCGGTTAGCTAGGCAGGCCGGATTTGCAGTCCCAGAAGGTTGTTTTTACCTAGGGGATGCCGGCTTCTACCACGGCGACGGCATCTTGATGCCTTACAGGGCGACGAGATACCACCTTCAGGAACAAGGGTTGGCCCGGCCGGAATTGAGGGAAGAGATTTTTAACCTGTACCACGCAAAAATGCGGGCAGTTGTTGAAGATGCCTTTGGGATCCTAAAGAGACGTTGGAAGATCATCAGAAACAATGCCCCGGAGTACGGATTCGACCGCCAAGTCGACATTTTGTTAGCTGTTACGGGCCTGCATAACTTTATTCAAAAGAGCGCGTCCGGGGCATCTTCAGCATACCTTATAGGGCGAGAAACGACGGAAGGAAACGAGGCATTCCTGGCGGAAGTTGGTGAACGGGCGTCGTTGATCGGGGCGGGAGGATTGCCCATGCGAGAGGCAAAGGAGTTGTGAGACGCATATCGGGACCGGATTGCCGATACTTTGTGGCGGGACTACCTGGCTTACAAACGTCACCTGGAACCGGGAGAATAACGCTGAAGGTCGTTTCGACGAGGGGATTTCGGTGAAGGTATCAGCTTGTTAATTGGGTAACTGGTTGGCGAGCGACGTTGGCGGAGGGCAAACGGGGCTATAGGTAGTCGGACGATAGGCAATATAGTAGTGGTGAGAAAAACGGTGGCGGCGACGCTGCATTTGGGAAAGGAAAGAAGTATACCACGAAAATGCCCCAAGTGCGAGGAATGCAAAAAAACTATCCCCGAAGTAAACGGATCAAATTTGGCCGAGTTGTAGGTGTAAGCAGTCGGGTGGCGGCAGTGTGGGAAATTGAGATTTGCATGCAGATCCTGAGGGGGGTTGCTACAAAGCCACATAATTTAACCTGAATAGGAACATTTTAGCGAACTTTTCAGCGATCAGTAAGGGGTCAATCCAATCGGAAGCAGGCTCATTTTTTTGCTTTTTCCAAAAGGAATTGAATGCCGGTTACTACGGCCCAATCGGATTTGTTTTCGTTGATGCAGAAGCGATAGACTATGGAGGAACGCAATTTTCCGAATGTCTTTGCACTCGTCGACCCTCTCCGATAAAATCTCGAACACAATCTGAAATATCTCGACAAAGGAAAGTTACCAGACAATGAGACTACTTTCGTTCGAACCGCCTTTATCCAAGCATCGCGCTCATAGAATCGCCTCGCACGAACTCCCAAATTAACTCCCTATCCTCTTCCAACGAAAGCCACCAGACCGCGATCCCCGTGTCGGCCTTGAACGCCGAGATCAACTTGCAGCGATCCCTCGCAACCAATCTCTCTTTCCATGGCGCCTTGTTCAGCGTTTTCGAGGCCTCAACCCACTTTTCTAGGCTGCGCAGGTAGTAGGGACTGGGCGCGCCTCGAGACGTGCCGGCGGAGGAGGTAGGGGAAGTCCCAGAAGACCCCGGCGTTGCAGGGCAAGGCTGGCCTGCCAGCGTGCGTGCGGCCTCCCTAAGGCTCTCCCCGACGTAGTACTGCGCCCGGGCGACTGTCAAGGCCTGAGGGGGGCCGGCAGGAGTCGCTACCGGGCCGGCAAACGCACCGCCTGCACCGTCTGCACTATCGTTAGACTCGCTTTCGAAGGGGTCCTGTTCAGCCTCGGGCAAGGGCCGGGCAAGGCCCTGATCGCGCAAGCGCCCGCCTGCCGTGGTTGCGAGGTCCCCGGAGGCCCAGTTGCCGTCAAAAACGGCCCGGCAGAGATCGAGATGCTCCGGCGGCCCCTTGAGGATCCAACGGGCCGCAGAGTTGACTTGAAAGTAGGCCTCAAAGCAGTTGCGGCTGGCGATATATCTGCCTGTATCTGGATCAACGCTGACCCCTGACCGCTTCCCAAAGCCCTCCCACTCTCTGTAGCGCTTTTTCAGGTACATATACTTGCTTTTGACCTTCCCTTTCCACGAGATAGAGGGCCACTGCCTGCGCAACTTCCGTTCAGCTTTTGAGAAGGCCTTGCGTTGCCAGTTACTGATGCGGGGGTCCAACTGCCCGGCCCGGCCCATGCCCGCCAGCACCTGCAAAAAGCGCACTATTTGAGCGCCGGACCAGACGAACCCTTTGCCTCGTTTCTGGGCGCGTTGCGAGGCCGGCAGGGAGACTTGGGAGGCCGGCTGAGAGGCGGGGATAACGTTGGTATCGTCGTCGGTTTCGATTTCCTCGTCTGACGGCTCTAGGGAAGGCTCAAAAGCATCCCCGGGATCAGAGTCGAAGGGGTCGTTAAAGGCAGGGACCGGGGTGGGCGGTAGAGAGGTGCCGAGGGTGACGTGCGAGGACTGCAGGGCAGGCGTTTCCTCGTCAAAAGAGACGTCAGAAGCGGTGGGAGAGGGGCTGGCAGGCGGAGGAGACTCCTCGCGGCGTTGGGAGCGGGTTAACCGCCTGCTTGAGGGACGAGTAGGCATGCCGGGCAAAGTGGCAAAGGGAGGGGAGGTTGATTGTTGCTTGGAGATAGCGACTGGCACAAAGGCGTGCACTCTCTGGGATATATAGCCTCGTTTTCTTTGTATTCAGGGCTTCAGAATGCACTAGAAATCAACCTCGTAGGCCTGACGTACCCCCCAGTCGGTGCGAGTGTTTATGACGTATTTTTTGATTTCCCTGATTTTGTAAATAGCTTCATTTTTTGCCTAGTTCTTCCTAGTGGTGGCGGCGAGGCCCTGCCACGAGGCTTAGGCGAGGCTGATCCTGGCCTGCGCCTGCAAGATCTCTACGTCACTGACCAGGACCCCCCTCGCCGTTGAATCTACCGGACTTCCTACCCCTACAAGCGCCGATCTACAGGGCTAAAAGTTCAACTCTCTCAACCGGTTGAAAAACCAAACACGGCATTGAGCACGGCCTCGGACGTTAGCACCGACACGTTGCCATCGGTGGCGTCAAAGGTGCACGTGTCTACAATGTCGCGCAGCTGGCCGTCTGCGACGAGGCCGCCGAGGTTATCGTCGAGATCCTCGAGGGCGCGGCGGGCGACGGCGTCGTCGCCAACCTGGAAGAACTGCACGCCGACCTGGTAGAGCGGGGCGCCGGCCAAGTCGAGCTGGCGGGCGACGCGGTGCAGGACCTCGTGCACCCTAAAGCCAGCGCGGTCCGTGGGCGCGCCGTCGGTGATGACGATGAGGTTCAGCGGCTTCATGCCCGTCCTCCCGGCGCCCCTTTGCGCGGCCCTGATGGAGAAGTCGTCGACGTAGGGCACTAGGATCTCGCCGATGCGCTTGCCCGTGGGCGTCATACCCGAGGGGAAGACCGCGTCGAAGACCTGGCCGACGGCGGACGCGTTCTTGACGCCGTTGAAATGGGAGGCGTTGTTGAGGAAGAGCATGTCGATGCCGTCCTCGTCATGCTGCGCGCACACGGGGACGATCTGGTACAGCACCGTCTTGACCTCCTCCCAGCGCGTGCCCGTGGTCATGGAACTCGAGTCGTCGATGAGGAAGACAGTGTCGAACCGGGACAGGAAGGCGTAGGGGTCGCTGCTTGACGACAGGTCGTCGCCGCTCAGCTCGAAGCCGGAGCCGGTCCGCTGCTGGCGGTAGGGCGTCAGGGAGGCGCCGGCGGGAGCAGCGCCGGCGGGCTGGGCTGGGGGTTGGGCCGAGTATGCCGGGGGCGGCGCATCTGGGACTCCCGCCTGACCCCGGCTGGTAGTGAACGGGTTGGAGGATTTCATCATGGACAAGCGACCGCTGAGGCTCTTAAAAAAGCCCTGCTTCTCGGACATTTTTAAAAACTACCCTGTGTTGTAGAAGATGTATGTGCTTTTACTGGTTATTTCTCAACGAGTTTAGCGGGTTCGGACGAAAGTTTCTGCTGGTAGCGCGCTTGCTAAATAGCATTGCAGGCGAAATTGCTTCGTTTTTATATGCGATGCCCCGGTAGGGAAGCCCGCTATTAACACGAGCAGTTCTTCACCGTGTCACGCATATGGGGCTTGGGCATGCAGTCGGGCAACGATATCATTGGGTTTGGTGGGTAATGAGACTTCAGCGGACACAGTATTATGTATAAACTGGAATTGTCGTCTAGGTTATGAAGATATCATTGAAATAAAGTCAGGATTAAGAGGAAAGTCGTGTAAATGGATGAAAGTGCAAATCGGGGTTATTTTCGGAGAAGAGAGCCGATTCTGGTTCAGATAAGTGTGGTAAAATATAATCAATAAAATCTGCTTCATCAAGGTTCCGATTAGTTTGGCTACAGTGAACAATATTTAATGTTTCTTCGTCGATCTCGAAATTTTCGTTAATTATCCTCCAGTGGAACTTTTCATTAGGGAATTCGAGTAGTAGTTGGTGAACAATGTCGAAGGGGGTTGTAAGATAAAAGTTGAAATAGTTGGTGCGGATTTTGTAGGCCTTCCGTGCGAATTCCTCAATATAATGGTCGTAAAAGGAAATAAATTCACGGTGAAAAAAAGAATTAAGATAAGTTTTAGAGTTATTATTGGGATTCCAAAGATCGAGTTCGAGAGAAAAAACAAAACAGTTTGCTCTAATTCTTGTCGAGGTTTTTTGGAGAGTGCCGTGCTTGAGAAAAGTAGTGAGAAGCTCGAATTTTTCTTGATATTTTAAAAGATTTTCGGAGAGGTAGAGTGAAATTGGACCAGCTCTCCACGGAAGCTTAACGTTGATAAAATGAAGATATTGGCTTTTAGTAGTAGAACTTTTGATGGTGGAATCACAAGTGTCTGAGTCGAGGAAGCTGGGTGGGAGAGAAAAAGTATAAGTAATGATTTGAGGAGGAAAATTCGTTGGGATTGGGTTTTCAGTGTTAACATAGAGAGGAAGTCCCATATTGTAACAGGGCTAGCTGGGCAACCTGAAAAAATCAAGAGATAAACAAAGTCTTCGGGAATACTCAAATTTCACAGTGATTTTGTTAAGAATGCAAAATGTTTACTTCTTATTACGAGTATGCTGCTCAGCTTTATATTGTTTGCGCCGTTTTAACGCATGCCTGCTGACTTTCAACCGTTGTAAGTCGAGGCACCCCCTGTTGGAACACCCCCGCCGACGGAACACCCCCTAGCCCACATCGCCAGATCCAGCCACGTATTTATTTTCTACGGGATTCCATCAATTCTAATCCGTTTTCCTTACTTCTTGCTGCATTCGAAAGCTGAGATGTGAGAGAAACAGTATACAGAACAAGGAGTCGAACGGACCGTTGCCACTGTGCAGGCGAAGGTCTCAATCCGGAAGGCTGCTCGAGACTAAGTCAAAGCACCCCCTGTCCGATCACCCCCACAGTCCGATCACCAAAATGAATCGGGTCGCGATCAAACCTAGTGCATTCAACTGCAAATTTCTACCTCAATTTAACTAACCTCGATACAACTGTATATAGATTCCTAATCAGAATTTGACCCTATTTCTGATGCTGTATCATTTGCTTCCTCAATTTGCCCCCCTGCCTCTGCAACGCGGCGGATATCAACGAAGGTCTGGTTGGTGTTACGGATCTGTGCCTACCAAAGAGACAAGGCTGCAATAAAGTTTGAACAGAAGGATTGTGCCTTGTTTGGCTGCTCAACCGGTAGGTAAGTGTAACACCCCAGATGTTATGGCGCGGCAGCCCGAATTGGCTGCCTGCCAGGTGCTACGCACGGGCCTGCATTGCACGGGCCAACGCGTGCCTATTTGGGCAATTCCGCTGTCGCCGTGCAACGCACAACTTTTTCCTTTCTTCTCTTTACCTTTTGATAGCCAATTCAACCTACGGATATCGCAGCCTGCCTCGTTGCCTACGTTGGACCGTGACATGGCGCAGGGGCAGGGGGTTGGGTGTAACGTGGTGTGCACTGGAAGGGATCCTCCAGGGGAGGTTTCAGAGGTTCAGGTCACTCAGCCGTCTTGGGAGGAGATGCAAGGTTGTAACAAGGGGTCAAATGACGGCTTGGAAGGGAGATTCTTCTGTATTCTATGATAAGTCTCTCAGGGCCTCAAAAGATGCTTAAGGAAGCCGAATCTCTCGAAGGATCCCTTCGAGATGGCCGCCCTTATATGGACGGTCCGGTGGTCTGCACTGAGGTACGTAGCTACTTTACGCGCGGGTCTTGTGCCCGTTGGTCCGGTCTATGTCGCCGGTGACCAACAGAAGCGTTCATGCTTATCTCTCCCTTGTTGTTGGCCACGGGCCTCCTGATCTTGTTGCCTAATGGAGGTCACCGTGTGACAGTTATGCCTTTAACGCTAGAAGGATCCATCTTTTTGACAATTTTATACGAATGCAGGCTCCAATGTTACATTACAGAAGGCTGTTATCAAGGCTAGGGGGTGATACACTAGGTTCTGAACCAGGCCAGTGAGAGGGGCGCTCTACCTTTGAGAGTAACAGTCGCTTGTAACTGCAGCATAACCTGCGGGAGAGCGCACACCCCTCCCATCACCAGTCCGTGCCCACCCTGGCGGGAAAGGGCTTGCGCAATAGTGGCAGAGAAAATGTATCAGCTTGAGGATGCCCACGCGTCGACAAGGTCATATCAACCGAGTCTCCTGACCGCCTAGTATTCCCTGAAGCTCCACTCACCACGCCGCTCCCTCCCTGTAATACCGTATTCCGTGTGCCCCTGCGGTACGAGCAAGGAGGGGACGGTTTCGCCCTGGTCAGCAGATGCGGGAGAAACGCAGCACGAGGGGTGCGTCGGCTCTAGGCTTCCCACACACGCGCGTATCAGGCCGTCGACTACTTTTCGAGCGAGATGAAGTCTGGATATTTAATAAGCTCCTTCCCCCGCCGCTAAAGGCTTTTGCTCTTAGCTAACTAAAAAGCTCGAGCTCCCTATAAATAACCACAGCATCTACTCATCTGCTCCTCTCCCAGCACCAACGAGCCTTACCTTACAGCACACAAGCAGAGCCAGAACCAGCGCCGCCCTTCACCATATTCGCCATGTCCCAGCACCAGAACGTCTACGCGCCCGCTCCATGGGCCCCGAGGCAGGCCAACCCAGACGAGGACTGGACCAAGATCTCAGATCTGGCCGAGCGTCGGAGGATACAGAACCGCATTGCCCAGCGTAACTACCGTATGTTGCCCTTCTACCCATCTACGGGATACCTAAATCCAGGCTTCTCACAGGCTTCAAGCTAACCCGCCATATATACAGGCAAGAAGCTCAAAAGGCGTCTTGAGGACCTGGAAAGGCGCGCGTGCACTTCGGACGGAAACTCGTCTGGGAATGGAAAGCCGACCTCCAGCAACGGAAGTAGCGCCAACGCCAGCAACGGCGGCAGCAGTAGTAGCAGCGGCAGCAAGAAGCAGCAACAGCAGCAGCAGCAGCGACAACAACAACAGCAGCAACAACAGCACCAGCAGCAAACTCAGGCCGCGGCTCCATTGACGCCGCCCGAGCTCTTCCCCGCCCACGCCTACCCGCCCCCTGAGGACATGATGATGGCGCCCTGTGGCACATCGCCGCCGCACGCACAAGCGCTGGCGTATGCCGAGTACCTCGTGTCGACAACGATGCCGGTAACGTTCCCGGATATGGCGCATTTTGACGACTCTATCGTTGGGGATTTGGACCACAGTGAGGTGGCACCGTACACGAACTGCAGATACATGCCCGGCATGGACGTATCCAACCCCGCGCCATACGACCACTCGAACTCTCATATGAATTCCTCATGGCACCAATCTCACTTTTACCCAGTTCTTCATCCACCTCCATACCTGTTTCTGCCCCACCTGCAAACCAGCTTCGCCTCTTCCCAGAGCCCCACTCCTCCTCCACTGGGTGGTTTTTCAAATGTTCAAAAGACTTCCAGGAAATTGCAACAAATCCTCGGTCTAGAACAGCACCTCCCCACGAATGTCAATTGATAAAATTGATAGCTGATTGGCTGGAAATAATATCTGGACCAAACCTAGCGCGTTCAACTGCGAATTTCTAGGGCAATTCAACTAACTAGAATACATGAAAGGACTGATTCCTGGTCAGAATCTTCTGCTATTTCTGGTGCAGTAAGTCAGTGCACCCCATGTCGGCCCACCCCCCATGTTCGCCCACTTTGTCAGCTCCGATTAACACCAACCCTACTGCATTCAACTGCAAATTTCTACCTCTATTCAAGCAACCTCGATGCAGGATAAAGCTGATTCCTGATCAGAATCGTCTGCTCTTTCAGACGCACTACTCGTTTCCTTTATAGTTCCACCCCTCGTTGCAGCCACGCGCTGGATATTAACAAAGGCCTCGTTGGGATCGGGGGCCACCCTTTTCCTTTTGCGAGGCCGCTGTGCCTCCAAATAGGCCTCCAATTGCCTGATTTTTTGTTGGGCGGTAGCTAAATCATATTCGTGCATTCTGTAGCTTTTTTGAAGCTTTCTGAAAAAAAGCCGGGTTGTAGGGCTTGTAGGGATCCGGGCCTTTATAGAGCTGATCTGGGTGGCCAACTCTCTCGACTGCCTGGGAGTCTCCCATGGGATCTGGGACATCTGGATAGGCACTGTTAAACGCTGTTTGGCCCTGGAATCTTCTGCAAATTGTTGAATTTCGGCTCGCCGGCTGTCTTGGCTAGAATTGTCAAGCACAAAGCGGTTCACAAAGGGTTTGGCTATATTGCGAGGCCAAAGCCCGGCCGCCCGCCACCCCGCCTTGATATTATAGGAGGTAAGTGCTTGTGATCGTGCGTAGGCATAAGCCTCTAAAAATTGACGTTTTCCCACTACTGTTGAGCAGGTAAATAAAGCTTGGGACCCTATCCTTTGGCGGTAGGCCTGTTTGAGAGGGCTAAAGATCGATAGATCAAGGGGCTGCAGCACGTGCGAGGTGTGGGCGGGCAGATAAAGTAGGAAAACGTTGCTTTGTAGGCAAAAAGACATAAACTCTTTGGTTACGTGCGATTCGTGCCCATCTAAAATCAGGAGACGGGGCTCAGGGGTAGGGGGTTGGGTGCGTGGGAGGAACACTTTTTGCAGCCATTTAAGGCCCGTGGGATCCGTGGTCTAGCTTTTATCTGTAGCGGTGAATTCCCACTCTCGGAATTGACCTAAATCTGTAGGAAACCACTGCTCCTGCACGCTTTTTCCTTTAAAAATAATGAGCGGAGGCAGCGATACCCCAGTGGCCAAGATGCACTCGATAAACGAGGTCCACGTGCGAGACCCGGGCTCTTTGCGCTGTAGGGGCCGGGTGCCAGCGAGGCCTAAAACAAGCCCGTTGCCGGTCCTACCCTCCTGCAGGCCGCCCTCGTCGGCGTTGTACGTATTTTCCGGCTTAATCCGGGCCACCTCGGGTATCTGCAGGCGCTGCCACCATTCCGTTATCGTTGCAGTAGTAGCCCCTTGAACGCGTGCGTTTTCTATGCGCTTTGATCTTCCGGTTCGGACCTCCGGATATCGGCCTAAAAAAGCATGAATCCAGTGCCTCCCGAAGGGCCGGAAGTCACCCCCGTGCCGGAGGATATCCTCTGCAAAAAACCGGATTTCCGCGTGCGTTGGTGGGAGGCCTAAAGAGTCCTGTAGTAAAATCCAGTTAGCCAAACGCTTCTCCTGCTCAGGGGCTATCCGTTGATACTCCTCTTTTGCCTGCCGAATAGGTAGGCGGCCTTGTAGACGGCCGCGTAGGGTTGACTTGGGTATCCCATAGCGCCGGGCAGCCTTCCCAATCCCAACCCTCGCGTGCACCGCAGCAACGACTTGTTTAACGTCTTCTTCTGTATATTGTTTCTCTGGCATTTTAACGATAGATTGCAGAAAAAAGTAAGGAAAACGGTTTAGAATTGATAGAAATATGAGGGCGGGAGTACTCGAGAAGATTCCATGCTGTGGGCCAACAAGGTGGGCGAACATGGAGGGTGGGCCGACATGGGGTGCACTGACTTATCGTTGATTTTCTCAATTGCACCCCTGCGTTGTGCATGGTGAAAAGTGAATAGGGAAACAAGTGTGTGTTTTTTTATTCCCTTTTCCCGTTTCCTTTGGTGTCAGGGCCAGATGGGGGTTAATAAATTAGTGGTGCGGAAGGTTGTATTCTCTAGGAATCGGCCCTGTAGGGCCTCCGCCGGGACGGCGGGGATATGGTAGGTGCATATCACGTGCTAGGGCACGTCATAGACTGCACCCTCTAGTAGCCGTGACACTTTTCCTTCCCCTCTCCTTAGTGTAGAATCTTCGTTCATGGCGCCAATGCAGGGCTGTCATGCCTCCATTAGTCTGGCCGTAACACCCCCAGTGGCCGAGATGCATTCGATAAACGACGTCCAAGTACGATCCCCGGGCTCCTTTTTCCACAAATGCCGGGCCTCTGCAAGGCCTAAAACAAGGCCGTTGCCCGTCTTGCCCTCTTGCAGGTCCCCCTCGTCGGCGTTGTAGATATTTTCCGGTTTGATCCGGGCCACCTCCGGGATCTGGAGGTATTGCCACCACTCCTTTATTATTGCAGGAGTAGCCCCTTTAACCCATGAAGATTCCATGCTCCATGTTCTGCAGGTACGGATCTCTGGATACCTCTGCAAAAGCGCTTTGTCTAGTGAAGATGCTTTAGGTTAAAATCTGCTTGCTAGGACTACATAGCTTTAGTACTAAGTCTGGAACTCATGAATCTGCAAGTGCTGTCCTTGTAAGATGTCATTTACCAGTTCCGGCGGTTATAACCTCTGTACCCTCCACGATGTCCTCTGTAAAAGCTTCCCCGGCCTTCTCGGCCTCCCCTTCCCCCATATCTATTATGCCTGCGCATGTACATCTCCCTTAGTCCCTCATCGGGCCAATGAATTCGCTCGTTTGACCTCATTTCCTGTGTATCCCTTTCGTCGGCAAATCTTACTTCTAGCCCTGAAAAGGGCCTGGCCTCAAAAAAGTTAAGTGGTCCCAGTTTAGAGATGTCCACGGCCTCGGCAGAAAGGGTTTCAAGCGCTTTTGTCGCATCTTTGCTGGATTTAAAAAAAAGGATCACCGAATTTCTCTGATACGGTTGAACGTCGAAGGTCATATCGAGCTTTAAATGCTTAAAATAATTTGGGGTTTGGTGTATGTTGAGACCGCGTAAAAGGAGTTTATCTGATACTGCGTTTCCTTTTGTTCCGATCTGACTGTCGCGGTCCTGTAATTAATATTAGAAACAACCTTAATAATGTTGAAAGGATAACCTCTTCAAACCTCATCAAATTCGTCGTCAGGTTGCCCGTAGTTAGGTTCCCCGTAGTCAGGCTCCTCCCCGTCGGGGTCCCCGTCATGGTACCAGTCCATTGTCATGTAAGAGGAGTGAAGTCTTTGTAATTCCAATCTTTGGAATCAAATCAGCTATGGAAAGCTAAATTATTTGTAATTGTTTAACTATACAAAGCTAATCGCGCATTACCACTCGCGAGATAGGTGATTTATATCTTAGGCAAAGGACCCTGGCCAATGGACAAAACGAATTTCCAAAAGTGGCTGAATAAATATATAGTAAACGAAATTAATTAAAATGGCTGTTATTATTAATGCCGTACTCCATAATTATAAAGCAGATATTTTAGTTTACCAAAAATAAAAATCTGCATTTCTCGCTAGTGTTATCACTTTACTAAAACATGCCCTCTGGTGTAAACTTGTCCCTTTTTTAAAGAAAGCATATAATGGCTGTAATTTTAATATAGGATTTTAACATTAACCGTTACTACAGGAATTAAAGTAAAGCGAACGGCCCCTGTGGCCAGGTAAGGTGGATTTGTTTCTATCGCAAATACCTAGTAATGTCAGCGATAAAATCAGGCAAAACCCAAAATAAACCTAAATACTCTCAGTCAAGCCATATCAACTCGCAGAACAGGTGTAAGAATTGGAGAATGACAGAAATACCAAATGTAACCACAACTTATTAAAGCCTCCTTCCTACATTTTTTGGATCTTAAAAATGCGCACCAGACCTCATTCCGCAGGCACCTCGTAAACGGCTTTACTAAAATACAGCCGCAAAACAATCGAGTCCCTTTTAAGACGATTTCAGTCCGTTTCAACATCGGGATCGAACATTGGCCGAAGGAGCGCTCTTTCCAGCTCATGACTTGTACGTAAGCAATATGGACTGAGGATTGGGGCTGAACGCAATGCAGCCTCGGGGCGGAAAGATGAGTGTCCCGGGCAGTACACAGACTGATAGGCAGGGAAGGGAACAATTAGTGTGCCCTTGGCATGAAACAGTGCCCATGCATTACGATGGAAAAGTGTTGATTGGATGAGTAGGCAAGGAAAATCGCATAGTGAGCAGGAGGGAGAGGGTCACTGGGTACGGAAGAGGCAGTGCAACGCCGTAGAGGCCCTGTTGGCCCAGGCGCGGTTTTCTGGTGGAGATCAAGGGGTATGAGTAGGCGCAGTAAAGCATCGCCGTTGCACGGTAAACCAAAGTTCACTTTTGTATTTTGGGAATCCTTGTGACAGCCGCCGAACCGTGGTCCCCACCACCGGGTACTTTAAGCGCGGACACCATCGCACGGCTCTTATCGGCAAGGGGCCGGAGAGCGACTGGGGATGGTGAGGCGACAGGATTGGCTGGTAGGTGGAGTGTTGCATTCTTCCAGAGAGGACAAGGATGGGCAGGGGTGGTGGTGGGAACGAGAGAAGGGCAGGGGTGAGAGACACCTCTTCGACAGGGCATCCGTCCCTCCCCTACTTAGTGCTGCATCTGGCTAAGAACTACAAGTGGGAACTGCATGTTGAAGGCCGGAGGAGCGAAAAGTTTACCGCGGAAGGCCGAGCGTGCTCGCGGTCCAATCTCGGTGGGTTAGGCTACCACCGGGGCTCCCTCCCTCCTCTTTTGACCAACCAATCTTGTCTTCACTTTCCCGTGCCCCTCTGGCTTCGGAGGGACTGGGGTTGCTCGTGCAGAGCCGTTCGTTGTCGGTTGGCATTTCCTGGGGATTTTACGGACGTGGTCGATCCACTGATAAGGGTTCTCTCCACGGGGCATCTTACAGCGCGCACATGTGATTGGTGGGAGTCGCTTGGCTCTCCTGTGGAAGCCTGACAAGGGTCACGCACAGATCTGTGTGGACCCTTACATACCAGTAGGGCCGAATGTACCAGAATCCCTGTCAATACCTCCTCCCTTCTTGCATCATCAGATACGTATTTCTCCATAATTGCCTACGGCAAACAAGACCTTGGCGCGAAGTGGAGCTCTTCCCTGGTGGCTGATAAGCCACAAAGCGCCTAACGGCCGCTGGCCCAGCCTGCTGATCTTGAAATGGATGCACGCGAGCTGGGGTTAACTCAGGGTATCCTAGCAGCTATCTTGGCAAAAGAAACCTGGCGAACTTGTCCCTGTCTAGGCAAGCTTGGCAATTTTGGCAACTTTAACTCCGCCAAGGATGCCAAGATATGAGATGGGGAACCCAATCTCGGCCATCCACCCCTAATCACACGTAACCCATGTGATAGTTAGGCAGCTAAGGAATGCCAAGGGACCGGGTCAGGCAAGTCAATTAAGGTGTGAGATTTGTTTTGGCATAGGAGCACGCCCCTACCAGTCGCACCTCCATGTTACGACCACATTGCAGAAGGGTAGGGAGGCCAGGGCCAAGGGCCGGCGCTGTTACGGTTCGGCAGTAGGAGCCTCCACCCACTTGCTACTAAAAGAACGACTAAGTCAAAGTCGACACTTTTGATTCAATTGGAGACTCAAGTACCCTCTGTGAGGCAAGGCTGCACGAGAGGGCACGCCACGCTATAACATGCGCAGGATTGTCTACTCCGAGGACAAGCCAACCACGGAGGTCACGTGACACGGTTAGGTAATCCCCAGAGGGATCTGTGGATCTGTAGCAAAAGTAACAGATGTTACGATCAGGGCGGATAGGCTTCGCAGCCAGGTTCAATTGATACTATGAACGAAAGACTCTTCTATGGGGAGGGAAAAGGGAAAGAGGCGCGGAGCGCCGGACACGCAATGCGGAAGAAAAGGTGGTGCGGCGTCTAGTCGCACGGGCTGTCAAGCGGCACGTGCTCGCGTGGATACTTGTGCTGTGCGGTGAACCGCCCCGGGCCGTCACAGGCCGGAGATTAGATAAGGAAGGACTGATGTTAGATACGAGGGTACTCGCTAGTACTGTGTAGAAGGATCTAGAAGATCCTAGGTGGAGCATGAACATGGGCACCACCGGTGCACTGACCACATACTCTGTGTATATCGACGAGAACAATCATCCTCTTTGAAGGACAAAGGACAGAGAGAAAAAAAAGGACAATCCATTCTTCCCATTCATCGATGACTAGAGACATTGTTTTCTGACAACTGACAAGATAAAGGTGTGGCCCGAGGCGTCACACCTCTCCTTCAACCATTCTGCACAAGTCAAGGGGCGAAATGCCACGTCGTAACATGCAGTTACTCTCGGCCGGGTCACCCGCACTAAATTGCACATCCCATATTAAACTCGAACATCGCCCCCTACCTTTTTTTCGCCGCCTTACCGTAAGCCTCTAATAATTAGATATACGATTGTAACAGCCCAGTGTGGTGTGGTGCACTTATCCCATATAAGCCGTGCAGACGAGCAATTCAAGCAGTGGCTTGAATTGGTGACCTTTTGGAGTGCTATTAGCGCAGTGGCATAAGGCTCGCACCACTGTTCGTTACAACTATAACACCAAACAATCGCCTCAAATGCTTCCATTCGGTGGCACGAATGCTTGCAATTGCTCAAGAATCTCAGGACCCACTCCGCTCATGGTTACTAGCGTATCCCCAGGTCGGCGACATATAGGACAATTCCTTTGCACCCTCTGCTTCTTCCCTTCTTCAAGCCATCTTCCGATGCACTGATGATGATATATATGGCCTGGATTTGTTAAAAGGATTAATGCCAGCGATTTAGTTAGCGGGGGCTGGTGGGGTTATAGTCTCACCGCATCCTGTCGTTGCCACCTGGTCCAAACTTTGGGGCTCGTGGCAAATTTGACATTTGCTGTCGTTAAAAACTGTAACAATGCCATCCTTACAGGAAGGACAAAGAACCTAAATCATGAAGGCAAAGGATTAGATACTGGCTGTAAGGGGATGGTTCATTTTAGTAACTTACCTTTCCGGAAGGGAACATGAAAAGAATGATAGGCTCGAAGAGGGCTTTGCAAACAAAGCACTGGATATCTCCGGTGAGGTTGACCACATACTTCTGAGACATGTAGTCCTCAAAACGCCGCGCGAGCTTCGCGCATCGCCGTGTGGAAGAGCTTAAGGCTCGCCCTAGAGCGGCCTTCTCTTCCTTCTCTTTCTTAAACGCCCGTTTCCACTGTTTCTTGAGCCTCCGCCCTAGCCGCTCCTTGAGGGCCTCCTCCACCTCCGCTCTAAGGCTCGCCTCCACCTGTCTCCTAAATTTGTCCCGCAGGGAAAGAGGGAGCCTTAAAGGCCACACATCTGTGGAGGGTTCTCTGGTGCTCATATCTGCAAAATGTTGGTCCAAAAACCATAAAATGTCAGTAGGAGCCGGCACCCCCACACGGCACGGAGAGTGCATGAAGAAGGAAGGAATCTATCCGCCAAAGAGGGAGCAGGAGACAGCTATTTATACACGATCCAGATTACCGAGGGCCTGTTCCTCTGCTCCCTTCCGTGTGGGTCCTCCAAATCCCGGAATCCGCTGCATCCCGTAATCTCTCGAGTGCACGCGCTGGTCATGTGACTCCAGCGTAAAAGAAAATTGTCGGTAATGTGCGGTCGTTGCGCAAAGCCACTCGTTACTGGTATATCGGCAAGTCGGGTTTCCATATTTAATTTACATGTCATATTTTACAGCGCGTGTTAGGCGGTTGGTGAAGGGATTGTCTGTGTGCCGTAGGGGTGGGTGTGACAGGTTCGGCAAAGTGAAGCCCTCCCCAACTCAACTAAAAGGACAACAATAACAAATCTGGTAATTTGTTCAGGATTGGTGGGCTATAATGACCATGGCGTTGTGCCACAGCGCCGTGCCATAACAGTGGGCTAAAAGGCCCCTGATCATGGGGAACCTCTGCATCTTTGTGATCGCACGCAAGGGGAGTGATGTGCACCCCTACGGCACACCTTTCTCCACAACCGCTATCACCTATTTTGGCGCCAAAAGCAACCTCCCGTCACGTCGCTGGGGCCTGCAATAATCGTCTCGGCTCCAAAAGCAAGCCCTTGCCTACGGGTCTGCTTTTACGGCGCATCATATTGTAGCGTAGTAGACTTATGGGCTAGCACAGCCTAATATTGCTATTTTCACCCGGTCGGTAAGCCCCTGGGTAGTTCGTATCCGCACCCCCCC